CATTATTATCTGAATTATTTTCTATTTCTGTATTATTTTCTTGAATTTCGGATGGAATTTCTAATGCTGCGAATAATTTAGTTAACGTTTCTACTTTTTCTTGTAAAGTTTTCATATTAATAAATTGTGTGTATTTTATAAATGAAATCTTTAGTTTCTTTTTACTAGTGGAGTAGTTATTATTAGTGATTTTTCTATTTTTTGAAACATATTTAACAAATTAATCTTGTTATCTTATCTTCAAGATTTTTTATTTGTTTTTGTTTCCAATTTATACTATTATCTATTATATTTATTGCTTCAATATTAGAAATGCAATTAATTATTGATATATTAGAGTCTATTTTTAGATTTAAAATTTTTTTTTAGATTGTTTCAGTGTTTTACGAAAAAAAATTAATTCTTGTTTATTTGTATCTAGATTTGAAAAACTCATAATTATAATTCTATAAGAACAATAATTTAGTTGTGTTTTGGATCAAAGTTACGATAAAAATTTATAGTTTTAAAAATGATAGTGATAGTAGAATTTATCATGACTGTTAATTTTATGATGATAAATCATAACGATGAATATTCATAATAATATTTATGATGATGCATGACAAATAAAGATGATTATGATAAATGATATGCATTAATGATGAATATTTTTTTCTTATGAACGAATGGATGAGTTTTCATATTTATAAAAATGATAAGAACGAAACTTAGCTTTGATACCAAAATTAACGACATGACGGAATTAATAAAAAGATTAAGATAGAATTATACCTGAACGATGTGTCGGCATGGATTGTTCAAATTATATGAATGATTATATGTCTTACACAAGAATCTATTGTGAGTATATGGTTAAAAAGCAAGGAATTGGTAGTAAGACTTACACCATGGGATTAGTACGTGACCCCCCCCCCCCCCCCCCCTACTCTTTTATTAAATAACCTCTTACTACAATAGACAATGATTACGTTTTATGAACAATTTAGTAAGTTTAATATTAATAACATACAATAAATAAAGTTTAATAATACTTTTTGAACCAAAAGAAAAAATTGTCACCGTTCAAAGTTATTTTTTCTTTACTTTTGTTGTTATTTCGTTTTACTAATAAGTTAATAATTGAATAATTAAATTTTGGAATTAACTTGTAACTTTCTAAAATTTGTCATGGGTATATTTTGTCCTTACGTATTTTTTTCAAGTATTTTTTCACCAAAATATATAGGGTTAATGATTAAGGTGAGTGACTTCGGTCTTTGTCCACATTTAAGTAATCATGTTTTTTTTTCATATACATTTGATCATTAAACTTGTTTGACCTCTTCAAAATAGGGTAATATGACTAGTAATTACCGGTGATATTACCTTATTATAAACGGATCAAACAAGTTTACTTGTGAAAAAATATGGTTATCTAAATGTGGATAAAAACCAAAGTTCCTTACTTGTTTTGTTAATATTGAGTTCTTTATGATAAATGCAAGTAGTCATAAGATGATGTAACATGGAATCGGGCCATCGAGTCTTGGTGTCAGATCTTGATTGTAGACTTGAGTAGGTGTCGTTAGTGAGTTCCCAATTTGATCCCTAGCTGCCATCAGAGAACAAAATCAATAGACAGTCTCAGGGACTGTAACCCAGGAGAAGGCTCCGATGATCAAGTTAGACGATGTGTATGAGAAGATGGTTAGGTCTTGGGTCAGTCCAGTTTAGGCCCAACTAGTCAGGAGCTAGGTTGTATATGCTTTAGAGGCTTGGCAACATAGCCTAACCCACGACTAGTTGGGCCTAAACTGGGTTAGCCTAAGCCTAACCTAATTATCCATTGACCTAGATCTATAAATAGAACACCTCTTCCCGCATAAGTAAAATCTCATTCCTAGACACGAGTGTCTATTGTATACATACATTCTTTCCACCAAGACGGTTCTTTATCCAAAAGAAATCATCTCCTTTTACACATCGATCTAACTTGATTGTTGGAGCCTACTCTCAGGGCACAATCCCTGAGACGGTTTTAATGGTTTTGATCTTTGATGACAGTTAGGAATCATGTCAAGAACCCGCTAACAACACTTACTATTGAGCTGACACCAAGACCCGATAACCCGATTTCATGTCATATGAGTGAGTCTTATGAGTACTTGCATTGAGCATAAAGAACTCAATATTACCAAAACGAGTAAAGAACTTTGGTTTTTGTCCACATTTAGAAAACTATGTTTTTTCGTATAAATTTGACCAATAAACTTTGTTTGACCTGTTCATCGTAGGGTAATATCACCGATTCATATTACCCAATTTTGAACCGTCAAACAAATTTAATGGTAAAATATGTACGAAAAAAAACATAGATACCTAAATATTTAAATATTTAGACGTAATCTTCCTAAATCATTAACTCAAATACATACATACAAGTACACAGCCAAATATATACCAAAGTTGATGAACAAATCTTGCTTCAAATGGTTGTCCCACTCCCACGAACCATATCTATACGCACCCGGGTTTTAGTTTTACAAACCCCATCTGCTAAACCTCTCTTCGCTATCACGAATTACAGGTACACTCTTTCTTTCTCTCGGAAACCAAGTTTCAGTTCTAGGGTTTCCTTCTATATTTGTGTAGTTCTTGATTGATGTTGAAACTAAATAAATTCTCCTCCAATTTCACTGGTTTCGTCCTACTATACTGTATTTCTTCGGATAAAATGAAACAAATTTGAAATTTCAATGATGATATCCGCTCAAACTCGGAAGTGAAACCGGCTGTCCATGAAACCTACTGAATTTCAGCGTGAAAATTGGAATCTCATTTTAATTTGAAATATGAAGATGTCAATTTCTGATGCTATCCATGTTAAGTTTGGATTTAGGAAGTAACTATTTCACTTATAAGCAATAATGGATTCAATTACTTGTACCCTGTGCGAGACATTTATTCTTTTTATTCACTTTCGTTATATATTCTAGCAACTGAGTTGACCCATTTTACAGGAGCTTCTTGTTACTATTGAGGCTTTGATAACATGATTTCCCCATAGCTCTGCACATCCAGAGTTCGTACTTCATAATTTTTAGTCTGTTGCATTATTTATTTTTGGAGGTTGTGCATTTAGTTCTCAAAAGACTCATAGCTGTACTTTTAAGTTTTTATGTTAGTTCCTAAAAAATAAAGTTAAATGCCTCTCATACTATCTTCCTCCTTCATGCCCCCCTGTTCTTTTGTTGATACTGTCAAGGAACCCCATATTATATTCCCACAACCATCATTATCACATCCACATCACAATTCTATCCACTGCAACATTCTTCGAAAATGCTTATTTCCTAATAACCACATATCCATGATTCTAAAACACAAAGCACCCTTGAAACTCATAGCAAGAGAATCCTCCATGAACTCCAGTTATGAACTCTTTAGTGATGAAAACAGTATGGAAGATGATTGGATAGATCAAGGAGAAGGAGATGACTCCATGGATTCACCTTGGGAAGGGGCAATTTTGTACCAAAGGAACCCTTCAATCTCCCACCTTGAGTATTGCACAACCTTAGAAAGATTAGGATTAGGACATCTGTCTACTGATGTTTCAAGATCTCGAGCTTCTTTAATGGGATTACGTGTCACAAAGTCAGTGAAGGATTATCCACATGGAACACCTGTCTTGATATCCATGGATGTTACCAGAAAGAAGCACAACTTAAAGCTTGATGGGATCATACGAACAGTCATAACTCTTGGATGCAACAGGTACAGGGACATAATTTAAATACCTTTCAAAGTACAGGGGCATAATTTGTAATTGTTTGTTTAAACTTTGATTGAAGGTGTGGTGGATCTGCAGCTGATTGTGTGTTCTCTAATTTCTCAATTGTACTAAGTGAAGACACCAATAGAAGAGCCTGAAACAATAATACATGGGAGATAATTTATGGTCAAATGTATGGTCAAACTGTGAACTGAAGTAAGAAGAAGAAGATGATTTAGCATCTGTTGACTTAGATGACTGGTTGTATTTCCCTCCTGAAGAGAAAGTGATAGACATATCAAAGAATGTAAGAGACATGGTGCATCTGGAAATAAAGATCAGTGCCATATGTGATCCGATGTGTAAAGGTTTGTGTCTCAAATGTGGTCAAAATTTAAATACAAGTAGCTGTAATTGTAGTCAACAGAAATCAAAGGCCAAAAGTTATGGGCCTCTTGGAGGCCTGAAAGAGAAAATGCAACAACAGGGAGGCTGAAGATTCCCCCTTTGAATTTTGTTCTGTTAGTATTACTTGTCAAGAAATAATATTTTACAAAAAAAATTAATGGATATGTAATTTACCGGAGAGTGGGCATTATATTATGTGTATAGAGTCAAACCAGAAGTTTTGTGGATAAGAAGACTGTGTGTGACTCACTGAAATTTAATATTTTATTTTGATTTTGTTTTAATTGTAAACCTTGTGAAATCCAGGATTTCTGTAACTCAGATGGTCGAATGGCTAGTTAATTTCAATATTATATTGTCAATTTTAATTTTTTGTGATTTGATGGTACCGACTAAGATTAACAATTATCATATAAAATGGGTTTGATTCTATTTCTTTGAAAGTAATTTTCGACTAATAAAGTTTCTCTTTCGTGTTAATAATAAGCAGTTTGTGTTTGTTTACTCTTTCGTGTGAATATTAAGCAGTTTGTGTTTGTTTTACTTCTATTCCGCATTACCTAAGGCCTTCTGGTATAGATAGCACGAGAGTGTTCGTGGTCTAGGTGGCCACGAACCACGACCATGCACACCACCCCGGTGGTTCGTGGTGGGTCGTGGTCGTGGCCCTCCGTGCTCCCGACAACGAACCCAAACGGCCAATAGTTTAATTTCTTGCTTAAATCTCGTTTGACCACTTTCTTCCCCTCCCTAACGGCTTCTTTTCTATTTCTTCAACATTCACCTGTAAATACTACCACTCATCTTCTTATTTTCATACAAATCTTCTCCCCTTTAGATACATTTTTGTTGTTTGATCCTTCAAAAACTATGCCTCCCAAAAATAAAAAATGGTCAGAAGAGGAAGAAGAGAATTAGCACAAGCATGGGTGACAGTTTCGGAAGACGACGCTGGTAAAACTTCCGGTTCTTTTTGGATAAATGTTGAAAGTGTTTTCCATGGTTTAATGTGTTGTGCAATTCGAAATGTTGATGAAATATGCTTGAAGTGGCGCGATATGAGGCCCAAATGTTCTGAGTTCAATGAAATTTACAATTTTGTTGTAAACAACATACACGAAGCTGGTATCGATCCGGTTAATGTGGCCATGGAGCAATATGAAAACACAAATCATCAACGTTTTAGACATGTTAAAAGCTTGACAAAAATTGAAGAATTCTCCAAAATGGAATAACCTTGCTTAAAAAAACACAAATTAGAAGTTTGGTATTTTTAGCCTTTTAATTCTTAATATTATTTTTATTGTTTTTTATTTTAGTTAATGTAATTTTTAGTTTTAAAGTTATTTTTATTTTTTTTCGTTTTACTTAATGTAGTTTTTAATTAATGTAATTTAGTATTTTAAATTAATGAAAATTAGTATTTAAAAAAACAATTATATGAATTTTTATGTATTTTTGAATTAAATTTAATTAAAAAAAATGAGGTGGAGTGTTATGTTTAGTGGTAGGTATCCCATGTTAGTGGTAGAGGAATGTGGTGCTGATGTGGCACCCACCACATATGTGCTATGTGGTAGGTATAACGGATGACCTAAGATAGAATTCAATCCAAAGTATCAGATTTATTCATTTTTTCTAACAATAATAACATCCCCGTTGTGGTTTGCTATAAAAAATAAGATGAGAGGGAGGTTAGATGTAGGAAGTGGATCATAGATAGTATTTTGGTGCTAAACAACTCACCACCACCTTTCTATCGCTATTATGTTAATTTCTTTCTTTCACTGCAACTTAACTTAGCTTCACCAACTTACAAATTCACCCTCTCAATTTCAAGGTGTACATCCCACACCCCAAACCCCACTTCACATGCAATATTTCCAGCCTGAATTGGATCCTGAAACCACAACCCAAACCATCACAAACACGTAGGAGCCCTAAAATGCCCATAACCAAGCTTGGAATTCAATGGAGGAAGCTGCATTGTGTTGTGTCTTAAAATTGAAGATGGATGATTTGGAGATTGGGACCTCCAAGAGACATTAGCTACGAAAAAATCAAGTAAAGTTAAGTATTGGTAGTTTTTATTTCTATGAGTTAATGAAACATTTAAAATTTTAATCAATGTTATATTTGAATTTATTTTTATTTAATATATATTATTTATATAAAAAAATTAATAAATTTGGAGTGATGAAGAAAAGTGACCACATCCGGTAGAGAAGAAGAATGATGTAGCGTCGAAGTGTCAAGATGACGTGGAATGATATGTTGTAATCACAATCCAATAGCCTAACAAATCTTGTGTAAATGTATCGTGTTTGCGGGTTAGTTTATTAGGGCGCCCTATGGTGCGTTAATAAAACCCACAGACTGTTACATATATATTGTCGAGATTTATGCACACATGGTAAGGACAGTTCCCTATCTCTACGAGGGTGTTGTCCCTAAACTCCGTCCTCTAATCGGTCGGCGGGACCACCACAAGAGGAGTAACCCCTTCACCCTCGCATTTAGCAGTGTTCGATTTCAAACTCACCTTATCTGCAATTGTGCATACTGCATTCTCATAACTTATATTAGATTATAGTTTCAAATTCACATTTTACACCGAAGTTAATTCCAATTGCATCAAATGAGCGATGTCATAAAAAACTTTTTCATACATTGACTTTTCCAAAACTAGTTGTTGATTTTACAGGTATGAATCAAAATTAGTTAACATAAACTTCACAAAGGGATCGGTGGTACTTACTTGAAAATGTTAGCTTAGGGGAAGATGATGCCATCTTGTTGATTCTTTGTCTTCTTGTAATGGTGTCTTACTGATTTTCTAGATAGAGAGATTGGAGATTGGATGCAGATAACATTGACGATCATAGGATTTATAAGGAGTTAGAGCATAACTCAAAAACCCTTCAATTACTTAGGCATTAAGTTTATTAGTTGCACCTTATGAAAAAAAAAGATTGGAACTACACAAATATAGTCCCCCGAGTTATAGACGTTGTCATATCCATCGTATTATAAATATTTAAGTCTAGGGACCTAATATATCATTATGAAAAACATTATGGTACGCAATATAAATATACATACTATGTAATAAGCTTTAAAAATAGTCATAAAGTCACATTAATGTGTTATTTTCCTAATACTTGTAGCTTATAAGGGCGACAAATCATGTAATCGTGTCATGTTTTGTCTGACACGACAAAATTTTATACAACACGAACACGACACGACATGACACGATGTCGTGTTTTTTTTAACTAACACGAAAATGAACCAATTAAAAAAAGACAAACAAGACACGACAAATATAAATAAAATAACAATTAGTTATTAATTAGTACTTAATCATACATAACACGGCAAACACGACAAATAAATGCTAAATCGTGTCAATTTTGTGTTAATTTTGAACACGAATACGACACGACCCGACCGAACACGACACGACATGATATCGTGTTTTTTACACTTGACACGAACACGTAACGGACGAGAATTCAAATTTCAGTCATTTCCTAATTTTGTTTTGTATCGTATATTTTATTGTGTCGTATCATCAATTACCGCCCATCGTCGCTTATAAAGATCTTGTGTAAAATAAGGTGTTTGTCGGTGACTTCTTTTAACCTACGGTGGGTTTATAAAACTCATGGGCCTTATAAAACCTTTTTGATCCTGTAATGTCCTTGAGGTTTGTACCCACAAGGTATTAAGTATGTACAGCTGCAAATATATAGTGACCATTAGATTTATGGGCACATGGCATGGACGACTACATATATAGGGAAGGTTTTTAGGTGGGAAGGTAAGCATTTGTTTGCCTATAATTTCCATTCTCCTATCTCTATATTTGTTTCTCTCTTACTCAAATTACATACATCACCTCAAATTATAAAAAAAATGAAAATAATAAATAAAATATATTGCATTGTTAAAAAATACTGTCAATACATTTAAAATGAGACAAATATTGAATGTACATTGATAAAATAAAATTTATCAATATTTTTAGTTTTATAACAATAGATATTAATCATTGATACATTTAGCTATTAATTTTTTTTATTTTTTTATTTTTTGTATTTGATTTACTATTGAACTCTCTAAGTATGTTTAAAAATTACATTATGACGGGTTACTGTAGGCTATTTATAATTTAGCATCTTACATGGCTTTTGGATACTTTATAATATAGGGTTAATGACATGTAACTATATAAGGGTAATGAACTTTGCACTGTGTACACTGATGTGTGTGTGTG